TTGGTCATTCCCTGGTCACCCCCTGGCCATCCCTGGCCACCCCCTGGTCACCCTCTGGTCACCCCTGGCCACCCCCTGGTCATCCCTGGTCACCCCTGGTCATCCCCAGTCCTCCTGATCATCCTTGGCCACCCCTGTCATCCCTGTATCCCTGTCGTCACCCCTTGTCACCTCTGATCACCCCTTGGTTACCCCCTGGTCACCATCAGTCCTTCTGATCACCCCTGGCCACCCCTGTCATTCCTGTCACCTCTGGTCACCCCTGGTCCTCCTGATCACTCCCTAACCACCTCTGGTCACCCTCTGGTCACCCCTGGCACCCTCATAACCCAACACCTTGGTGGCACCTTTTGCCAAGGTACCCCTGACCAGCCCTGGTCACCCCTGACACCTCTGTCATCCCTGTCACCTCTGGTCACCTTTGATCACCCCCTGGTCACCCCCAGTCCTCCTGGTCACCCCCAGTCACCCCTGGCCACCCCTGGCCACCCCTGGCACCCTCATAACCCAACTCCCTGGTGGCACCTTCTGCCAAGGTACCCTGGTCACCCCTGTCACCCTCCCCAGGACCACAGGGTGCTCAGCTGTGTCCCAGGGGGTGGCTCTGTCCCCTCTGGGTCTCCTCGTGCCCCTCACCGTGGCCTCAGGTGTCCCTGTCCCTCCCACGTCCCCTCTGCCTCCTCCCAGGGCTTGGGATGTCCCTGCCATCTCCCTCCATCTCCAAGGCTGATCTTGTCCCCTCCCTTGATGTCACCTGGAATGTCTCTGTCCCCTCCATGTCCCTCCGTGTCCCCTGCTTTCCTTGTCCCCACCATCCCTGTCCCCTTCTGTGTCCGGCAACGTTGTTGTCCCCTCCACGTCCTGGGATGTCCCTGTCCCTTCCACACCCCCCAGGACACCCCAACCCCCCCAGGGGCACATCCCTGTCCCTCCTCAATGTCCCCTCAGACCAAGCTGAACGAGGACTTCACGGTGAAGGCCGAGGGGACAGGGAAGGGGACACTGACCGTGGTCACCGTCTACAACGCCAAGGTCCCCGAGAAGGACAACAAGTGTGACAGCTTCGACCTGCAGGTGGACGTGGAGGAGGTGAAGACAGGTGGGTCCCCAACATGTCCCCCCGTGGAGCCCCCCCATGTCCCCTACAATGTCCTCCATGTCCCCCTCGCTGTCCCCATGTCCCCCCCACACAGGCAAGGAAGAGGAGGGCGTCATCCGTTCCATCAAGATCAACATCTGTGCCAAGTAGGACAGGCTGGGGGCATTGGGGACATGAGGGAAATGGGGACACTGGGGACATCAGGGCCATTGGGGACATCGGAGACATGGGAGGGAAATGGAGACACTGGGGACAGGGCAAGTAGGACAGGCTGGGGGCATTGGGGACATGAGGGAAATGGGGACACTGGGGACATCAGGGACACTGGGGACATCAGGGACATGGGAGAGAAATGGGGACACTGGGGACATTAGGGCTATCGGGGACATCAGGGAAAAGGATGGGGACACTGGGGCCATCAGGGACATCAAGACCATCAGGGACATTGGGGACATCAGGGACATGGGAGAGAAATTGAGACACTGGGGACAGGGACATCAGGGAAAAGGATGGGGACATCAGGGCCATCGGGGACACTGGGGACATCAGGGGCATGGGAGCAAAATGGAGACACTGGGGGCATCAGGGCTATCAGGGACATTAGGGACATCAGGGACACTGGGGACATCAGGGACATTAGGGACATCAGGGACACTGGGGACATCAGGGACATGGGAGGGAAATGGGGACACTGGGGACAGGGACATCAGGGAAAAGGATGGGGACGTTGGGGACAAACAGGGCTCGATGCCACCTTGTCCCATGGAGGTCTTTGGAAACAGGGACATCAGGGAGGGACATCAGGGAAAAGGATGGGGACATCAGGAACATTGGGGACATTGGGAAATCAGGGCCATCAGGGACACTGGAGACATCAGGGGCATGGGAGCAAAATGGGGACACTGGGGACATCAAAGAAAAGGATGGGGACACTGGGGACAAACAGGGCTCGGTGCCACCTTGTCCCATGGGGGTCTTTGAGAACAGGGACATCAGGGATGGGGACGTTGGGTCCCCAAGGGTCGTTGGGAACAGGGACATTGGGGTGGGGCCGCTGGGGACAATAGGGCAGTTGGGGACAGGTGGGTGGCCTCATGACTGTCCCCACAGGGACCTGAATGAGGG